GCGGAGGAGGATGTGGAGGAGGAGGAGGAGGAAGAGGAGGAGGAGGAGGAGGAGGAGGAGGAGACACCTTTGGAGCCTCTGGGAGCCTCTTGGAGGCATCTTGGGGGGCTCCTTGGGCCTCGTGGGGGCCTTGGGGGGCTTTTCGGGTGCCTCTTTGGCCGTCTTGGTGGGCTCCTGGCCCGTCTGACACCGTCGGAAGCCGTCTTGGAGGTCTCTCTGGGCCGATTTGGGGCCCTCTTGGGGTGCACCAGGGCCGTCTTGGAGGCCATCTTGGGCGAGGACTCCTCTTGGGGCCGTCTTGGGGGCCTCTTGGGTCGTTTAGGGCCATCCTGGAGGTCTCTTGGGCGATCTTGGGGCGATCTTCGCCTCTTGGGTCCCTCTTGGGAGCCTCTTTGGGCCCTCTTTGGGCCTATTGGGGCTCTCTTGAGGCCGTCTTGGGGCCTTTTTGGGCCGTCTTGGGGCCCTCTTGGGCCGTTTCGGGCACTTCTGGGACCGTTTTGGGGCCCTCCGGGACTGTTTTCAAGCCCTTTCGGGGGCCTCTTGGGCCGTCTTGGGGCGATCTCTGGAGCCTCTTGGGTCGTTCGGGACCGGTCTTGGCCCGAAACAGCAAGAGCCTCAAAAAACTTCAAAACCATAGGGAAAACAATGCTTCTTGCCGCTGGGGGCTCTCTGGAGGGCCTCTGGAGCCCTCTGGAGGCTCTCTTGGACGGTCTGGGCGCCATCTGGGGCTCTCTTGGAGCCGTCTTGGTGCCCTCTTGGGCCGTTTTGGTGCCCTCTTGGGCCGTCTTGGGGCCCTTGAGCCGCTTCATCCGAAGAAATACGATGACTCGGGCCATGGAAGGCGCCCGCGAGCCCTCCTCCTCCTCCTCCTCCTCCTCCTCCTCCTCCTCCTCCTCCGGCGGCCATTAAGAACCAAGCGTTCCCCCTTGGAACCTCCCCTGGAACCCTTCCCTAGAGGGCTTCGCCCCACACTAGAACGTCATCACTCGTACCTCGCTCTTTCCGTTACCTTGGGCCGTCTCCAGCCGTCGGTAGGCCGAAAAGAAGCACATGCCAACATCATTAAACAACCAACAGAAAGTCATTGATTTTGGCCCAATCGAGCCTTCCTGGAAGCCCTCTTGGAGACCTCTTGGGCCGTCTTGGGCAATCTTAGACCCATCTTGGACCGTCCTGGTGGGCTCCTAGCCCGTCTGACGCCGTCGGACGCTTTCTTGGGAGCCTCTCGGGCCCTCTTGGGGTGCTCCAGGGCCGTCTTGGAAGCTTTCTTGACCGTCCTTTGGTAAGTTTTTCCCCAACCATCCTGTGGTGTTGGGTCCTCGTTTTGAAGAGACGGTGCCCCGCGTTCCTCCTTCCTTCCTTCCCGCCCTCCTCCCCCTCCTCCCTCCACCCCCTCCTTGCCTCTGCTCTCGGCACACCTCTCACACGTTTCGTAGCCGCATAGGGAGCTCCACCGAAGGTCCCAGTGGGGGGGGGCGCATGCGGTTCCCCCACCCAGGGCAGCGCTTCGTGGCCCCATAAGGGGCTCCACCGAAGGCCCCAGTGGGGGTGGGCGCATGCGGTTCCCCCACCCAGGGCAGCGTTTCGTGGCCCCATAGGGAGCTCCACCGAAGGCCCAAGTGGGGGTGGGCGCATGCGGTTCCCCCACCCAGGGCAGCGTTTCTTGGCCCCACAAGGAGCTCCACCGAAGGCCCCAGTGGGGGTGGGCGCATGCGGTTCCCCCACCCAGGGCAGCGGTTCGTGGCCCCATAGGGAGCTCCACCGAAAGCCCCAGTGGGGGTGGGCGCATGCGGTTCCCCCCCCCAGGGCAGCGTTTCGTAGCCTCATAGGGAGCTCCACCGAAGGTCCCAGTGGGGGGGGCGCATGCGGTTCCCCCACCCAGGGCAGCGCTTCGTGGCCCCATAAGGGGCTCCACCGAAGGCCCCAGTGGGGGTGGGCGCATGCGGTTCCCCCACCCAGGGCAGCGTTTCGTGGCCCCATAGGGAGCTCCACCGAAGGCCCCAGTGGGGGTGGGCGCATGCGGTTCCCCCCCCCAGGGCAGCGTTTCGTGGCCCAATAGGGAGCTCCACCAAAGGCCCCAGTGGGGGTGTTCGCATGCGTCTCCCGTGCCCAGGACAGCGCTTCGTGGCCCCATAGGGAGCTCCACCGAAGGCCTCAGTCGGGGTGTTCGCATGCGTCTCTCCCACCCAGGACAGCGCTTCGTGGCCCCATAGGGAGCTCCACCGAAGGCGCCAGAGGCGCAGTTCGTATGCGCCTCCCACACCCATGACAGCGCTTCGTGGCCCCATAAGGAGCTCCAGCGAAGGTTCCAATAGCGGAGTTCGCATGCGTCTCCCTCGCCCAGGGCAGCGTTTCGTGGCCCCATAGGGAGCCACACCGAAGGCCCCAGTGGCGGTGTCCACATGCGTCCGCGTCACCAATTTCGGCGCACCCCTCACAAGTTTCGTGGCCCCATAGGAGCTTAACCGAAACTGGTACCCACAATGCGGTACTCGCAACTGCACATGGTTGGGTCCTTCGTCAGGCTAATTGGGCCCTCTTGTGGCCGTCTTGGGGGCCTCTTGGGCCGTTCTGGGGCCATTTGGGGGGCTTCTTGGGCGATCTTGGGGCGATCTTTGGGGGATCTTGGGCCGTCTCGGGCCGTCGGAAGGCCGACAGGAAGCACATGATAAAATCCTTGAACCACAAAGAGGATCACCACTGACTTTGGCCTCTTCGAGCCTTCCTGAAGGTCCTCTTGGAGGTCCCCTGGGCCGTCTTGGACCATCTTAGAGCCATCCTGGACCGTCTTGGTGGGCTTCTGGCCCGTCTTTCGTTGTCGGAAGCCATCTTGGGGGCCTGGCCGCAAGAGGCCCCCGAAGGGAGCCCCACGACGGCCCCAGAGGGGCCCACAACGGCCCAAAAGGGCACCACGACTGCCCAAGAGGGCCCCAAGATGGCCCGAAGAGAGCCCCAAGAGGGCCGCAGGAGGCCCCCAAGAGGGCCGCAAGAGGTCCCCGAAGAGAGCCCCAAAACGGCCAAAGGCCTCGAAGACGCCCCAAGACGGCCCAAAAGGTCCCCAAGACGGCCCAACATTGCCCCCCAACGGGCACCCAAATGGCTCCAAAAGGGCCCCAAGAGGACTGACGAGGACCACGAGACGCTCAAGAACACCATGGCTCCCATCAGCGAGCGGGGACGTAACAAGCTCTTGACACCAAGGCTCCCTAGAGCGCGGTGGCGTACAAAGCTCGTCACACCGAGGCTCCCAAGAGCGAGCGGCAACGTAACAGGCTCTGAACACCAGGGCTCCCAACGGAGAGCGTCGACGCAACAAGCTCTTAACGCCAAGGCTCTCGAGAGCGAGGGGTGCCATGAGCCCTCTCGGGCCAGTTCCTTAGGTCCAAAGACGACCAATGGCTTCCAATATGCCCCAAGACGGCCCAAAAGGGCCCCAATGCGGCCCAAACTTGGCCCACAAGGGCTCCAAAAGAGCTCCACACGGACCCTCTCGGAGACCCCCTAAGAAGGTCCCTACAGCGAGCGGTGACGTAACAGGGTCTGAACACCAAGGCTCCCCAGAGCGCGGTGACGTAAAGAGCTCTAAACAGCAAGGCTCCCAAGATCGAGCCGCAACGTACTAGTCTCTGAACACCAGGGCTTCCAACGGAGAGCGGCGACGTAACGAGCTCTTCACACAAACGGCTCCCAAGAGCGACGGGTGCCATGAGCTCTTTCGAGCCAGTTCCTGAGGCGCTCTTTCCGTTTCCGTGTCGTTCCAGGTTTAATGGCTTTCGGCATATCCCGTTACCGTGCTTGGGTTGCGGTTATGAAGCTTAATGGATGTTCGTTGGGATCTCGTGGGGGGCCTCACGGGAGCCTCAGGAGGCAGCTTGCAGGCCTCTTGGGGGCCGTTTGGGGCCTCTTTGGGCCTCGTTTGGGGCCTCTTGGTGGCCTCTTGGGGGCCTCTTGGGGCCTCCAGGGAGCATCTTGGGGCCTGCTGGGGGCCTCTTGGGGCCTTTTCGGGCCCTCTCGGGCTGGAAGGCTTGAGTTGTCTGTTCGTGCCCCCCTTATTGAGCCTTCGTGGAGCCGTCTTGGACCCCGAGAAGGTCGTTTGGGGCGGCATTTGGGTCGTTTTGGGGCTGCGTCTTGGCAGCCTCTTGGGTCGTCTAGGGGCGGTCTTGGAGGCCTTGTGGGCCTTTTGGAGCGTCGGGAAGCCGAAACACCGAGAATGCCAACAACCTCCGAAAACCTAAGGACAATCAATGATTTTGGCTCCTTGAGGCCTTCTTGGAGGCCTCTTGGGGCGATCTTTCGGCGACTCCTGGCCGTCGTGGACCGCCTTGGGGGGCCTCTTGAGGCTCGTCTGGACCGTCTTGCGGGGCCTCTTGAGGCTCTCTTGGCCCGTCTCCCTCTTGGACCCGAAAAAGGTCACGCGACAAGATGCATGGGAAGGGGGCACGCACCACGCTCGAAGAGATTTCGGGCATGGGAGTTCGGGCCTCCAATTGACTCCTCAGAGCTGAGGGCCGAGGCTCAGGGGATTGGCAAAGGACCTGAGGACACGCACACTCCGTGCCCAGCGGTACTGCTGCAATTTTTGGGTGAAGAGTGGGTGAAGAGTGGAAGCGGCCAAGTCAGGGAATCTGGGGCTTGGGATGCTGGTAACTCGGGCCATCCGTGCACCACATGGACCACTGTGCGTGCTTCGCGCAGCAGGATGGGGAAGGACCGAGCAGCGAAAACGCATGTTCAGGGCCAGAGAGCGACGAGCCAAGCGGAGTTACGGATCCTCTGGCAGGCGACCTCCTCCCTCAGCCGTACGTCGGGCCTGTCCCTCTACAGGGGGAATACCCAACAATAGTTTAAACATCGCCTGGGGACTGTCTTTTGAGCACTTTCTGATCATTTTGGGGCACGTTTGGAGCATCGTTTTTATTCTTCGCCCAAAAATCCCCCTGTAGGGGGACAGGCCCGACTTAACCTCAGCCCCCCCCCCCCCACACACACACACACACAAGGCGCGTGCGGCAGAGCTCGACCGCGCGGGCAGCGCCACGGAGGCCACCTTCCAGCACCAGCGCGCCGCGGCCAAGCTGGCGGAGGCCGCGGCGCTGTGCCCAGGCGCGGCTGGCCCGGCCGATCGTCGGGACGAGGACGACGGCAGGGAGTCGGTCGGGGGCGGCAACGAGGGGGGTAATGACTGGGGGGTGGGGATATCATGGCGTGGGCCATGGTATTTCGCCAGATTTCATGGCGCCTCCTCTTATTTCATCACGCTCCCTGGCCCACCGCTGGGCCGCGCACACGCCGCCGGCCATGGTTTGCGTCCCCCCCTTCTTGGACGCCCCCCTCTTGGCCGCTCCCGATTAGAACGAGGGCCAGGAGGCGGGTTGTGACGAGAATGAAGAGTTAGATGAGGGGTTGGGCGTCAAAACTTGGAGGTCGCTCTGGTGGCGTCTTGCTGCCCCAGGCCCGACGAGCGCCAGCCAACAATCCCCGCAAGCCGACGGACCGCGGCATTCCAACCTCGTGTTTCTTCGCTCACCACTCTGAGAGCACCTGCCGCCCTTTGATGTCCCGGGGCTCCCAGAACTCCCAGCCGAGCTCGCGCCTCCTGTGCCCGCCGAGGACGTGGCGCTCCGGCCTGCACCCCGCGCTCCGTGGAGTGCGCCCTGGCCGTGGAGATTCTCGCTCAGCCAGCCCCCTGGGCTCGGGCTGTGTGCCGAGTTCCACGGGCGCGCGCGCGCGCGCGCCTCGAACGCCCATGGTGGACGCCGTTCTCCAGGCAGCCCGGCAGCCCTCGAAGTCGAGGCCCAGACCGAGGCGCGGCGCCGCCGCGCTCCCTCCCGCCAGCCTCCAGTGCGCCGGCGCACTCGCGCGGGAGCGCGCCAGCACCGACTCCGTGGCGCGCCGACGAGTGTCAAAGGGGGGTTGCCAGCCCTGGGCTGGGGCCAGTTCTTACCAGCCTGGAACATATCCCTATCCCTCTGCTGGGCACCTCCTCATCACGATGCCAATCTCAGGGATTCCCTTATTTCTTGAGGGCGACTCCCTGAGATTGTCATCGCCTTTTGGCGTGGCAATCTTAGGGATAGGGATACGTTCGAGGCCGGTAAAGATCCCCCGCCTCGCTGCAGCGCGATTGCCTAACTCGAGACGTGGGCGCGCGCGCGCGCCCAGCGCGCCACCTCTCTCGCGCTCAAGCCGACCCGTTGACCCTGGCACGCTCCTCCTCTCAGGGTGGCGCACCGGTGTCCGCATCCCTCAGGAGGGAGAGAACCACACAGACACAATGAATCGTCGACTCCCCAGAAGAGATGGGAAACTGTGGGAGGTGGGGGAGGAGACAGAAACCCAGAAAACACGGGAAAATATTGGGAATCTTGTGATTTATGTGTGTGTGTGTTTATCTGTGTGTCCCAGGGCCCCCTCAATCCAGACTGCCGGCCCCGCCAGTGGTCGGCTCGTGGCGATCGTCGGCCATGCTTGGCATCACACCTTCGCCCTCTTCCCCCTCCTCTTTCTCCTCTTCTTTCTCCTCTTTTCTTTCTCCTCCTCCTCCTCCTCCTCCTCCTCCTCCTCCTCCCTTTCCTACCTCAGCTGGCGCCCCGCCGCATGCGGATTCCCGCGGTCCGCGCGGTGGTGGCCTTTTGCCCCCCGGCCTCCAGGCCAGCCGCATCCTCTGGGCGTCCTGTAATGGGGGGATCGTAAATAGGGGGGTGGCGAGGGTGGTCCGAAAAGGTACCCAAACGGTACCTAAACGAGCCCCCTGGGGCTCTGGAGGGGCCCGAAAGGGGCACGAAAGGGGGACCTTTTCTGACCCCCCCATTTGTGACCCCCCCATCAAGCCACGCCCAAATCCTCAGGCCTCGGGGCAGACGACCAGCCAGAGGCGTTGCGTCCAAGACCTCCCGGGGCAGCGCGCGCGGGGCCCTCCAGTGCCTTCTGCTCGACCGCGCCCCCGCCGAGGCAGGCCACGAATGCTGCTGGCCTGCCGCCTGCAGCGCCGCCCCGCTCAGCTGGGCCGTGCGTCTGTGGCCGTGTCGGACCTCCGCTGGGCGGTCCTCCTCTTGCGCACTACTTCTGGCCATGGCCCGCTGAGTTTCGCACCTCGAAGGGAGCGCGCGGGGCTCTCTCGTGAGACTCTGTGCTCTCTCTCCCTTCCCTCCTCCATCGTGCCTGCTCCTTTCTCCTTGTGCCAGACAGGGGCGTGATTGGGAAAGGTGGGGTACGTCATCCGCTGACCCCCCTTTGCTATCTCCCTTCCACCTGCGAACCCCCTCTGCGTCTGACCCGATCCTCCCGCCGCCGCCTCCGTTTCTTCGTTCGGCTTGCCTGTCTGCCCCTGCGCCAGTGCCCTGGTCCCGCGTGCCCCTCGCCCATATAGACCCACGACATGGCGGACCTCTTCCCGTCCCTCTTCAACTCCTCCCTTTTCTCAACATTCTCTCCTCCCAGAACACTCTCCTCGTCTGCCCTGTCTACCTCATCATTGTCGTCCTACTCAGATTCCCCCCCTCACTTTTCTCCCTCCCTCCCTCTCCCCTGCCCTCCTCCTCCTCCTCCTCCTCCTCCTCCTCCTCCTCCCTCTCCTCCTCCCCCCTCCTCCTCCTCCTCCTCCTCCTCCTCCTCCTCCTCCTCCTCCTCTCCTCCTCCCTCTCTTCGCCTCTCCCTCTCCTCCTTCGCCTCCTCCTCCTCCTCCTCCTCCTCCTCCTCCTCTCTCCTCCTCCTCTCCTCCTCCTCCTCTCCTCCTCCTCCTCTCTCCTCCTCCTCCTCCTCCTCCTCCTCCTCCTC